TGTATTTGTGAACAAATGGACAGAAAAACATTTAATAATATTTATTTTTACACTTTAAGAAATAAAAATTACCATATTCATGTAAACAAGAAAAAATATACAGTTTATACCAAATTTTAACTTTAACACTTTTAGTTTGATTGCTATCTAATCAATTTATCATATTTATTCTTACAGGTCAGTGAAGTGGTCAATAAACTACTAGCGTGATCAAATCAACTTGTTTAGAACACATACTGTATTTGTGAACAAATGGACAGAAAAACATTTAAAGCTAGCCTTTTATCTTGTGGGAATAAAAAACGGTGGCACAGTGGCTCAGTTTAGTAGAGCTGTTGCCTTCCAGCAAGAAGTTTGCTGGTTCGAATCCCAGCTGTGGACCTTTCTGGGTAGTTTGCATGTGCTGTCTGTGCATGCGTGGGTTTTGGTTTCCTCCCACACACTTTAACTGGTAACTCTAAATTGTCTCTAGGTGTGAGAGTGAATGGTTGTTTGTGTCCCTGKRATGGACTTGCAACACGTCCAGAGTGTGCCCCGCCCCTCACAGAGGGACTATGGGCATCAGTGACCCTGAAAGGAAGAAACAGGTATAGATAATAGATGGATGGTATAAAAAACAACAACAAAATATCAATCTCATGTTTAAAAAAAATGCTGCAGAGGGACCAAAAAGCTGCAGGTTGCAGACCCCTGGGCTAACAACTGATGCTACATCTCACAAAATGACAAGATCATGCATAACATCCTTCTTGACATAAGACAATTGTAGTTTAAAACTTTGGCATGAAAGGTGGTGGGTGATAAACAGTTCTTCAAGGACTATAGCTTTATTTCTTATGTTATCTTTATTTTTTACTATAAAATGTTTCTTTTTTTCCAGCAAGAAAAATTCTGAAGCTGCAGATGGAGGTGGAACAATTAGAAGATCTGATTTCAAATTCGGAGAATGTGGAAGCTACACTTATTGGTGAATGCACAATTTTTTTTTCTTCTTCAAAGGTGCTTATTGCAGTTGCAAAACCAGACAACAAACTTTTCATGACTCAAAAAACAAAATCTGCACATTTTTTTTCTATTTTGATAGATAATGTGTTACTAAATTTAAAATTTGTAGGCAAAATATGTGGCTGCTAAATGCCATTAACCTTTTTGGCCATGTTTGTTTAACAACACCAACTAAGACCAGCCCCTTTAATTGTACTATGACGTAATGATCCAGTCTTTGGATGCAGAAAGTCATCACCACATTGTTTTATTTTCTGCAAGTAATAAGAGAAGATTTGGAGGTACAGAGAAAACAAGAGTACCTTTTGCAGAAAAAGCTGGAGGAAGACGACAGCGTCATCTCACAGCTGAGTATGAGTGCTGAACAAGTTAAACCATTTTTGCCTTTTATTTAAAAAAGTATTAAAATTTCAGTAAAACTGACAAGTAGTTTTCTTTTACGTTGAGCAGTTTTGAAAATTATCAGCATAATGCAAGAGCTGAGAAAGCAGCAGAAGACATCACCAGGTCAACAGCAGGGTGAGTGCGTCTCTGCTCTTTGTTGTCCACAGAAACAAAGGATTTAACAATCAAAATGGTATTCATTTTGGTTCTTTTAAACAGATATTTTGACGTTGTTCAGCACTTGTAAACGTGACTATATTGTGGCCCAAACTGAAATAAAACGTGAGTTCTCATTTGTAAGATTTAGTTTTACTCATGTTAGATTCAAACAAATTGACCCCACTTCTTTTTTAATCACAGACCTGCGGCAAACATGTGAGGAGTCCCCTGTACTTAAAGAAAAATATAAAGGTGAGCCGCTTTCCTGACTTCAGTTAAAACCTCAGATTTATGTTGCTTACTTGACAAAATGATCTTTCCTCAGGCTTCAGAACTGGGCTTTGTTGTTGATTTGCATTTACTTGGCATGTAAAATGTTCTTTTCCTTGTTTTTTCTAGAGCTGGAAAAAAAGTTAAATATTAAAGTGGAGGAGAACCAGAGTTACCAGGAGACAATTGAAGGTAACTTCAGCCACAGTATGTCAAGGTTTTGCATCAAGACAAGAAAAATACTGTATATTGGTATAGGCTAGTGGCAGGGGCGGAGCCAGGGGGTGGCCAGGGGTGGCCGTGGCCACCACAGACAAATCTTTGGCCACCCCATTGGCCACCCTGCTGTRCACACCCCTTCCACAGTGAAACAACCTAAACAGTTGGTGGCTGTGCTTAACAGTTTGAAACATCACCAAGCTCAAAGAAGTGACAAAATGTGATTGTTTTCTTTATGTTATCTGACTTATGGTGGCAAATGTTTTTGTGTTTTATCATCATACCATAGTGTCATTTTCTGTTTTGAAGGCTGCATGATGCTCTGTCCCTTTTGGTTATGAGTAGACC